TGCTAATATATAATAAATATAAGAAAAATATATTTTACTGTGTATTAACAATAGAGACAAAATGAGGCAACTTGATATTGGCAACTTATATATTGATATACAATCCACACCTGAACACAACAGTAAAAATGATCATTTATGGCAGTGTGGTGTTATATTTTAATGTCATAAATGGTCTTGCTTGTTAATCATGTTATCTTTTAAAAAATAATAGACAACTCTTAATAAAGTTCATCTTTCCTTGATATTCATGATAATTGTGGTTTCAAAAAATTTGAGTCAAAAAATGTGCTTATGTCACACCCCACCCCCATCCAGCAAAGCCCCAGGGACCTGGGAGCAGCCTTCCCTCAACCACAACCATCCCCTACCATATCTCTGACCACAGGAGCCTTGGTCCTGACTGCCCCTGGAGAGGTGAGTGTCTAAGTTCCCAACTGGAGAGGCAAGCTCTCTAGACCATAGCCCCTGGAGATATACCCCATGCTCCACCTCCACCCCAGGGAAGCCCCAGAGACCTGGGAACAGCCTCCCCATACCTGCAACCATCCACCCACTACATCTATGAATACGAGAGCATTTGACTGACTGTCCCTGGAGAGGTGAGTGTCTGGGCTCCCAGTTGGAGGACATTGCTCTTTAGGCTCTAGCCCCCGGAGGCACATCCTATGTCCCACCCCCAACCACCAAACTCCAGAGACTCCAAAACAGCCTCCCCACATTTGCAACCATCCCCCACTATACCTACAACCACCTGAGCCTTGGCCCTGATTAAGCCTGGAGAGGAGTCCCAAGAGCCACATAAGTGACTACCAGAGGCATGACCTCACCAGCACCATGATGAAGAGTGACCACCTAAGCCACAGGCCCCAGCTGCATCAATTGAAGGGAGAGATGGGTAGGCACCAAAGAATATATTTAACAACCTAAAGAACATTATGGCAACACCTAAACCTAGTGGTCCTACAAAAGGAAGACCTGAACATCTTAACCTAGAAGAAGCAGAAGAAAACGTCCTTAAATATAATACTATGAAGATGCTAGAGACCGTTAAATAGGAAATGAAAAATTCCCTTAAAGAAATGGAGGAAAAGACAAACAAAACATGGAAGAAATCAATGAATCTCTTAAAGAAAGCCAAGAAACCCAAGGGGGAAAACAAATAAGCAAATAAACAAACAGGTGAAGCAAACAGTTCAAACAGTTCAAGATTTGAAAATTGAAATAGAGACAATAAACACATACTAAGGGGATTCTGAAAATGGAAAATCTGGGTAAACAAACAGGGACAACAGACGCAAGCATAACCAACAGATTACAAGAGATGGAAGAGAGAATCTCAGGAGTTGAAGATACAGTAGGGGAAATAGATTTATTGGTCAAAGAAAATGTTAAAATCCTTAACATAAAACATCCAGGAAATCTGGGACACCATGAAAAGACCAATCCTAAGAATAATAGGGACAGAAGTAGGAGAAGAACTAGTGTGGGAAGTCCTTCTGTATATGTGTTGTTTTTATTGGTTAATGAATAAACTAAACTGAATGCTGGGAGAAAGACGGTGGAGTCAGTGAGAAGCTATGTAACCTTCACAGAGACAGACAAGCTGGAACTTTACCTGGTAAGCCACAGCTATGTGGTGATACACAGATTAATAGAAACGGGTTAGTTTAGGATATAGGACCTAGCTAGCAATACGCTTAAGATACTGGTCAAAGAGTATTGCAAATAATATAGTTTCTGAGTGGTTATTTCGTGGTCTGGTCAGTTGGGAACAAGAAGTAGCTTTCTACTACAAAGAATTCCAGCTCAAAGGCACAGAAAATATATTCAACAAAATTATAGAAGCAAACTTTCCCAACCTAAAGAAGGATATGCCTATAAGTATACAAGAAGTTTTCAGATACCAAACAGACTGGACAAAAAAAAGTCCCTTCACCATATAATAAACAAAACACTGAACATAAAGAATAAAGAAAGAATATTAAGAGTCATAGGAAAAAGGTCAAGTAACATATAAAGGTAGACCTATTAGAATTACACCCAACTCAATGGAAATTCTGAAAGTCAGAAGGTCCTGGACAGATGTGTTCCAGACACTAAGAGACCACAAATACCAGCCCAGACTACTACACCCAACAAAACTTTCAATCACCATAGATGGAGTAACCAATATATTCCACGACACAACAAAATTTAAATAATACCTATCCACAAATCCACTTTTTTAGTACTTGCAGAAAGTACTAAAAGAAAAACTCCAACCCAAGGATGCTAGTGACACCCACAAACACACAGGCAACAGATAACCTCACACCAGCAAACCCCAAAGGAGGGAAACACACAAATACTACCACCAAAAAAAAACAAGAATTAATAATCACTAGTCATTAATATCTCTTAATATCGATGAACTCAATTCATACATAAAAGGACACAGGTTAACTAAATGCATACAAAAATCGGATCCATTTTTTTCTGCTGCATACAAGAAACATACCTCAACATACCTCATAGTGTCAAAGACAGACACTAACTCAGATTAAAGAGTCGGGAAAAGATTTTCCAATCAAATGGACCTAAGAAACAAGTGGGTGTAGCTATCCTAATATCTAACAAAATAAACTTCAAAGGAAAATCATTCAGAAGAGATGGAGAAGGACACTTATTCTCACCACAGAGAAAATCCATCAAGATGAAGTCTCAATCCTGAACATCTATTCCCCAAACACAAGAGCACCCATATATGTTTAGAAACATTACTAAAGCTTAAATCTCACATCAAACGTCACACACTAATAGTAGGAGACTTCAACATCACACTCTCAACAATGGACAAATCTGCTAGATGGAAACTTAAAAGAGGAATAAGAGAACAAACAGATGTCATGACTCAAACGGATTTAATAGACATCTTTAGAACATTTCACCCAAACACAAAACAATATACCTTCTTCTCAGAACCTCTAAAGTTGACCACATTCTCGGCAACAAAACAAACTTCAACAGATTTTAAAAAATGGAGTAATCCCCTATATCTTATCAGATCACTATAGCTTAAAGTTAGAATTCAACAACACTAATTGCAGAAAGCCTTACAAACTCATGGAAATTGAACAATGCTCAATTGAATCACCCCCTGGGTCAAGGAAGAAAGAAAGAAAGAAATTAAAGACTTCCTAGAATTCACAAAAATGAAGGTCCAACATACACAGACCTATGGGACACTATGAAAGCAGTGCTACAAGGAAAGTTCTAAGTGCCCACACAAAGAAAATAGGGAAAGTTCACACTAGTGAATTAACAGTACACCTGAAAGCTCTAGAACAAAAAGAAAGAGATGCACCCAGAAAGAGTAGAAGACAGGAAATAATCAAATTGAAAGCTGAAATCAATAAAATAGAAACAAAGAAAACAGTACAAAGAATCAATGAGACAAAAAGCTGGTTCTTTGAGAAAATCAACAAAATAGACAGACTTTTATAATACCCCAGTAGCACAGACACTGAGAGCAACAAAACGTAAATCGGACCTGCTGAAACTGAGAAGCTTCTGTAAGGCAAAGGACACAGTCAATAAGACAAAACAGCAGCCTACAGAATGGGAAAAGATCTTTACCAATCCTACATCAAACAGAGTACTAATCTCCAAAATATATAAAGATCTCAAGAAACTAGATATTAAAATACCAAATAGTCCAAGAAGAATCTCAAATGGCCAAAAGACACTTAAGGAACTGCTCAATGTCTTTAGCCATCAGGAAAATGCAAATCAAAATGACTCTGAGATACCATCTTACACCAGTCAGAATGACTAAGATCAAAAACACTAATGATAGCTTATGCTGAAAAGGATGTGGACTAAGGGGAAAACTCCTACATGTACTAAGAGTGGGAGTACAGATTTAAACAACCACTTTGAAAATCAGTATGGGCGGTTTCTTAGAAAATTGGAATCAATCTACCTTGAGACCCAGCAATACCACTCTTGGGCATATACCCAATGGGTGCACACTAATACCACAAGGACATTTGTTCAACTGTGCTCATAGCAGCATTATTCATAATAGCCAGGACCTGGAAATAACCCAGATGCCCCTCAACCAAAGAATTTACACATGGAATACTACTCAGCAGTAAAGAACAATGACATCTTGAAATTTGCATACAAATGGATGGAACTAGAAAAAAAATCTGAGTGAGGTAACCCAAACCCAGAAGGACAAACACGGAATGTACTCACTCATAAGTGAATATTAGACATAAGGCTGGAGGATAGCTAGCCTATAGTCCATAATCCCAGAGAAGCTAAATAACAAGGAGAACCCTAAGAGAGGCATACATGGATCACTTGGGAAAGGGGAAATAGACAAGATCTCCTGAAAAAATTGGGAGTACGGCGGAGCAGGGGAGAAAGGAGGGTACAAGGGCAGGAGGAGAGGAGGAAACAGGGAGGAGACCATGAGGGAACAGGATGTGTCAAGATGTGGGAAGGACAGAGAGGAAGAGCAGTGATAGAGATGTCTTGATTGTGGGAGTCTTTATGGGGCTGACATGCAACCTGGCACCAGGGAAATCCCCAGGAATCCACTAGGATGACCTCAGCTAAGACCCTAAGCAATAGTGGAGAGGGTGCCTAAACTGGTCTTCCTATGCAATCAGATTGATGACTACCTTAATTATCATCATAAAACCTTCATCCAGCAACTGATGTGCAGCAAAGCACTGTGCCAAGCTCCCAAAGTTCAGTCAAAGAGAGGAAGGAACACTAATATGAACAAAGGGGTTAAGATCATAATGGAGATACCCACAGAAACAGCTGACCTGAGCTAATGGGAACTGACTCCAGACAGATTGTGGGGGTCCTGTATAGAACCAAACTAGGCACTCTGAATGTGGGTGACAGTTGTGTGGCTTGAGTAGTGTCCCTGGCAGTGGGACCAGGATTTATCCCTAGTGCTTGAACTGACAATTTGGAGCCCATTCTTTTTGGAGAGATACTTTGCTCAGCCTGAATATAGTGGGGAGGGTCTTGTTCCTGCCTCAAATTAATATGTCAGACATTGTTGACACCCCATGGGAAACCTTACCCTCTCTGAGAAGTGGATGAGTTAGAGTAGGGGGAAGGTAAGGAGAGTAGGAGGAAAGTGGATAGATATGTAAAATGAGAAAAGACTGTTTTGAAAATATAAACTAAAAAAAGGTGCTTATGAAAGCTGAAAAAAGTCCATTGGTTCCAACAATTACCCACGTATGTGCCACTTCCTACATATCTGGAAGATTATTCAACTATACAGCAAGACAAGATGATTCTTTTTAATGCAAGGTCAAATGTTTAATTAGTTCCCAATCTTACCATCAGATCCTACTAGTGGCCTTTGAGACTAATGTCACTTCCCATTCACGTGTAGCATCCATTTTGATATCAACTAAATCAAAATACTAGGCAACTTGAAAACATTTCATTTATTCTGTGAAATCCAATCAACAAGAAATTATAAATTACAGAATGTTGCATTTCTATATTCTAGATAACAATTCTATATATCGGCCAATAGAAATAGATGGGCCCCTTAATATAATATTGGGAAAAGCATAACTGCTTTGCATCAGCATATCTAAAGTCTGAAAGATATAATCCAGTCTATAAAAGTATGATATACAGTCTGTACTTACAATGCCCACAAGAAAAAAGCCCATAGGGAACTCTCTCCAGTAAAGTTTATTCTAAATATTTTATTCTGTCTTTATTTTCTTATTCGTTTTGTGGATGTTACAAATTTCCTGAAAATGTTTATGGGTATAAGTAATGATTTTCCAAACTTTATGAGTCAAAGTGAGGAAAAAAACTTAGAAAATAAATGAGAACAGAAAACAAAGTAATAAATGGAAGAAATGTTTTTAAAGGGAAAATGGGAATGGAGAGTTGAAATTTTCAAGAGGAAAAGTTAGAAACAGCCACATTGGCAGTGATTGCTACATCTTTTTCTTTAAGAAAAACTATTATGCTTTGGTAATTTCACTGAATCCAGAGCCTCACAGGGCACTTCTTGTCCCTCAGAGGAAGTTGGGATCCACGGAACAGCAACAACTAAGCAAAAGCCTTGTAGATGTCAGGATGTCCCTTCTGGGAAGAAGTGCCCTGGGACTCCCCTGTCCTAATCAGACCACTAATAAGTTCAGGTTTCCGAAGCCTTTAATACGGACATGGTTCAGTGCCCTGAAAACTCTCAGATCATAAGACTGAGGGAAACATGAGCACGAATAAGAGGAAAAGGCAAAACGAAACCAAAGGCAATTAACTACAAACACAAGCCTTTGTGTGAACTCAGTCAGGAATTGTTCTTCAAATAAAAGTTTAATGCAGTTAAATATGCCATATGTCACAAATTATGTACCAAATTGTAAAACGCTACTAAGAATTTGGCGAAGCTATCCAAATGGTTTAATATTGTAAAGGATAGAATAGTACTACTTCCCAGAATATTTATATATTCATTTTCAAATGTTTTCTAAAGCTCAAAGCTCTCTTAATACACCATAATTTCATATATTCTAATAAGGACTATTCTATATTTTTCCCCAAAGTCCTTTTTGCTCAAAAATACAGGTTTTATTTATTTAAAAATATATAATTTTAAGACTGGAGTGAATGTAAAGACTACAGTATAACGTCTTATCTTCAAATGGGGAAAAATGCATTAACTGTGGCCAAAGGCATAAAAATTATTTCAAAGAACAAGAAAAGAAAACAAGGTTAACTATCATGTATTACTGTTCATTTCACTGTGAGCAGGACTTTCATCATTACTTAGGCATCTTAATAAGGTTACGAAGAATTTTCAGACAGTGTGATTGATGGTAGTTCATTACCCATGTTCTTTAACATAACCTTTAGAAGGGCAAAGTTAGAAATACTTATTACAGCAGAAGTCCAGACATTTCCTCCAAAGTTAGGATGATACAGAAAAGTTTCTTACTCCTCCATTTCTCTGATTGTTTTGTCAGAACATATGTGGTGTGTGAACTGTGTCAACTTGTCTGTTAAACAAGCAGAGTTGTTTCCATTTGAAGCTGTTTGATGACCAGGGCTAGCTTTGGGAACGAGAAGTGGGATGAAAATAACTCTTCTTTATCTAGTTGCAGCAGGAAGCCTGGAGAGAGGAACCACGTTTCAAACCCATGGAAGTCACCATGCCCTCATAAAACTCCAGCATCCAACAGACACATGTTTTCTGGATTGGCTAAGCAGACACTGTATCTTGGAAAATAATACAATTGCAATTCCACATACGTTTACCACAACTCATTTTTGCAAGGACATCTTTCACAAACTACAGAGAGCATTTAGATACTTCTTAGTCTTTTTCTTGTCTGGGCCAAGGCAAGGTTTTGATCAAGCAGTGCAAAGCCATTCTTACCTCCCTTGCTTGTTCTCATTCCCAACAGAACGAAATAAACACTGTAGTTTGGCTAACGGCATAAAAGGCAATTCCATAGGTCAATAATCTTTTGCTTAACCCAATGGCTTCCTCCAAGGACAAAGAGCAGTAAGTCATAGCAGCTGATTGCTGTTGTGCTTAAGAAAATTTCGTTGTAAAATGCAACTCTGTCTTCACAGCTCTTGGAATGTGTCACTGCATACAAGTAATAAATCCTAAAGAACTGGTAGGGAAGAAAACAAATGAAAATTATGCCGATAAAAAACAGATTTTTCAACTGAGCCCAGAACTCCTGGTGGGAGAGTAAGGAGTGGCGAAGCTTCCGCACCATGGACAGTGTGATGAAGATTTGGATACCCAAGAGAACCATTGCAATGGTTATGACAATAATGACTATCATATAGTTGACAACTTGTACATAATCACGGACAAGCTCTTTATGGAATCTGAAGCAGTGCTGTTCATTGTATTCTTCATTATTTCCATACTGAGAAACCACCAGGGGTACCACAATGACAATAACCAAAAGCCACATAGCAGTACTGGCAGCAACTGCGTGCAGTTTTCTATAGAATTCTACTTTGTCTCTGCGCTTGAAGAAGATGAGGTACCTGATGACCAGGATCACCACATAGAAGAGGAAGGTGAGGTACATGTGTATGTGCAGCATGGCACTCACAAACTTGCAGAAAGGTAATCCAAATGTCCAAGTCCCCTTGATGAGGTATGCCACACGGAAAGGCACGGTCAGCAGGAATAGCCCATGTACCACCACCAAGTTAATGACTGCCATAGTGGTCACTGAACGTGAGTTCATTTTCACCAGCAAGAACAGGATGGAGATGACACCTGCCAGTCCGCCAATGAGCACTAGGAAGTAAAGCGAGATCAAATGATGTGCCACTTTAGGATCACAAGGGGAACTCTCGGAGGTATTGTTTTTGTCCATTCTTCCAACATTGCCTGCAAAAGCAAAAACACCAATGAACCTGGATGAACTTCCTGACCGTTGTTCACAGCTCCTCTGGTACACTGAGAAGGCGGCTCTGTAGTTTATCTGTTTTCATGGTATTAGACTTCTTTGCTTACAGAATGAAGACAATACTGTCTGCATATTTGTAGTCGCTACACCTAAAACACCAAGCCATTTCATTAGTCTACTTGATATTTATTGTACCACAAACTGAATTTAGAAGGACATTCATTTTGGTTCACAGCTCTGATAGCTCAAGGTCAAGGGACCACACTAGCTGACTGTGCTGTAGGGAGGTAAGAGAACCCAGGGACTGGGAATGGAATGTATCTTTTCTAACCTCTCTCCCTTTTTTCGCAAAGGCATCAGGATTTAATCATGAGGATTCTACCCCCAGAGACACATGGAATGCTGAGTGACTGGTGAAATGATGCAAAATATTTTGAGCATGGGTCTATTTCTCTAAGTCCTTCTCAATAACGAGCAAATGATCCAAGGATATTCATAATTAACTCCTTGAGAATGCTTGCTAATTTGACAAAAGCTCAGGGAAGTCGAAGCAGTAAGCATACAAACACCTGTTTTTCTCATAGTTTTAACATCATCCTCTATGAGACCTTGGGTGAGTTCTTCCACTGAATATGACATGCCTCCCAAGTCTTTCATCTTGTACCTTTAAATGACTTGCAAATGTAAAAAGACTCACTCCTACTACTTTTTTGGACTCTTGAACAAAAAAGCCTCTTTGAGTACCTAGTCCTCTCTAACTAATTCTCCAAATTCTTATTTTTATTATTTATTTTATGTTATGTGTATGATAGTTTTGCCTGCATCTGTGTATATGCACCACATGAGTACTTGGAGGCCAGAAGAGGATGCCAGATCCCCTGGAACTAGAGTCCCAGGTGGGTGCTGGGAAATGAACGTGGGTCCTCCAGAAGAGCAACCAGTGTTCTTAAGTGCTTTTCTCCAGCCCTCCACATTCTCCAATAGATATCAGTAAGAATTTTAAAATCGTTTTTTTCACCACACAAGTCAAGACCAATTTCCCATTTAAATCTTGCAGTGACTTCTCATCTCAAAAGATCAATAATATTCTTAAATCCAGTGTGAAATTCTCAAAGAATTAATAAAACCTCTTTTTAAAAATCCAGAACGCCCTAGATTACTGTGCCTAGATTTTGCTGGTTAAAAGGAAGAGAAGAAGGTGACTCAAGCCTAGCACTCTGACTTGAAGAGCTGCATAGTAATGATGACATCCAAGACATTTGTTTACTAATATTAGGAAAACTGGAACTGAGCAGGAACATAATGCATTATTCTCTGAGTTGCTGACATTTGTAACATGTTTGCAATAGCTCCTAATGCTTTTCTGAACACCTCTTCAAACAATGTATTTGTACCCAAATTATAAACTTATTATTAAACCAAATTATACACGATGTTGATGAATCTCAAAAGGTTTGTATAAATCATGTATATTCTCAGTGAGATATGGTGCTTCTAAAGGCACAAAAAATTAACAAAGTATAAAAAAAATTATTATATGTATCAAGCAGAGAAATGTGTACAGTGACTAGACACACCGATACATTAAATTTTCAGAGGAACAGGGAAGACAATTAGGAAAAAACAATCTCTAAAAATATTTTTTAGGGAAATAGTAACTTATAAAAAGTTGAGAAACTGTAGTGAGACACAACGCCATAAAGGCTGTATGTTGTATGATTTCTTTTTTTAGAAAATTCAAAACAAATGTGAGAGAAAACAGCTACATGTAGCCCAACTTGTTGGGCTTTTAAGAGAATGCTGAGGCAATGGATGAGTGATATCATCATTGAACTATACACGTAAAACGACCAGTGCCCAAGTATTTCCTTTACCTCCATTAAAACGTAATGATATCCTAACTCTATCACAGAGCACACTTTTTGTGAGCACAAAACACACTTTCAGAGAGCTGTGGCCCACTCAACCATATTTCCCTGCAAGCTGTGAGAAGTTTTCTGTGTTATAGTGTGAAATCTCACCACTTGCCTTCACTTTTCCTCTGTAAAAGGGCAGTGCTTGCGAGTAGAAATGATCTTGTTTCCATCTGAGTCAAGGATGGACATGCCTCCAACACGCCTGCTCACCATCTCCTCCAGCTGTTTGTTTAGTGAGACTAATCCTGAAAGAAAAGAAGACAGCCAGTGGTGTATCACTTGATCAATCTCTTTATAAACTTCCATGATCTTTGCCTTTCAAACATCAGAAGCAAGTGTCAAATGATTCCTGTGTGCCAGGACAATATCATATTGAGTCATTGACTCTCGCTGTAGGCTCACAGTATGTTGTGACATGGAATTTAAGGTGATAAGACAGCCTTTAGGCCCTCTCTGTAACTGCAAGAGCTGGAGGTGGGTGTGAACCAAGAATCTATAGAGTGGTTCACTCTGCACATGGTCACTCTTTCTTGCTTCCTTCACTGTTTTAGACTTTCTGAAGCCACAGTTCCTGAATGTGACTGCTGCTAGAAACAAGAGCTGGCCAATGATGAATGTCAGTATACAAAAGCAATAGTTCATCTGGTAATACGGCAATGGCTTGATCCATTTGCTCTAAGAATGTTGTGGCAGACTTCTGGCACTGTAAGTCCTGGATCTCAGCTTTCAAAATGACATATTAAACACCCATCATAAGTATTATGGAATGTAAAGGGAGTAAAGCAGTTAAAAGTCAAATTAAAAGATGGGTTTTTAGGCTGAAGGGGTCCAGCTCCACAGTATTTACAAATATCAATCTTTAAATGCATGAGTCATTATAAACATTGCAGTGTGTTTAAATATTCACTGTGAAATGCTCTCTCCCTTTCTTTTTGCCTTGGAAACAAGAGTTCAAAAAGTAGTTGTTATTGTCAACTTTACACAATATGGAGTCACCTGGGAAGAAAGAACGTCAGGAGAGGACTTGCTCAGATCAGCCAGCCCTCCATTACTCACAGTCTATTACTGTGAGAGACTGTCATGTTCGGTGTAAGAGGGTCTAGACTACTTCTGGCAGCACCATCCCTAAAGAGGTGTTCTGGGTTATATAAGGAATCCAGTTGGGCATGAGACAGCAAGCAGTATTACTCAGTGGTATCTGCTTCAAGTCCCTGCCCTGCTTGAGTCTCTGCCCTGACATCCCTCAGCGATGGACGGTAACTTGTAAGATTAAATAAGCCCCTTCTTCTCCCATGTTGCTTTTGGTTTGTGTTTTATCATAGCAACTGAAAAGCAATCTAGGGCAGAGTCTATGCTATTTTATGATTCATTATTCTCAGCCTCAGCTGACTGGCTGGATGGCCAGATGCTGGGATTATGGGCATGCACCACCATACCTGGCTCTGTCTCCAATGTTTCTAATAATAATTTTCTTTGAAATTTACCCTTTCTGTTTATTTTGGGCCTGCCTTGTTTACAGAAGTTCACCACCTGTGGGTTTCAACCCCTTGGGGGCACATATAAAATATTCTGCATATCAGATATATACATTGTGATTCATAATAGTAGAAAGCTTACAGTTATGATGAAGCAATGGAATAATTTTATTGTTGGTGGTCACCACAGCACGAGGATCTGTATTAAAATGTCTCAACATTAAGAAGGTTGAGAACTACTGGTTGGGAGCCTATATTTTGTACCTTTTCTATTCTCTTTAGTTATAGACTTAAGGGCTCTAAGATTTAAAATACATCCTTTTAAACAAGACTGTGTCTGCCTCTTCTCTTATAATACTACAAATTCAGAGTATTTTTATTCTTATTTACACCTTCCTTTCATGTTGGTGTTTACATGAATTTTAAATCTATGTATGTTTTATTCTAGAATAAACAACTTAAACATATGTCTTGTGGAAGTTTTTAGAGAAACCATGCAAAACAAAAAAATGGTCCCTGTCAGCAAAGTCACAATAGCACAGTATGTGGTTTAATGTTCCCATCGGGGTTCAGAGAATAAAACTTTTCAATCTACTACAACTAAACAAAGTTAGACTACATAAGCAGTGCATTCTAAAGAAGTGGTTAGCAGATGCTAGCCACCGCACGTAGACAATGTGAGACATGAACTGATAAGATTAAAATAAGCTATCATGAGTCTTAAATAAGATACTTAAAATTGGGACAGGCAGCTAATGCTAAAGACCTTTGGAAAATTCATACGGAAACCTACTACTGTATATTCACACATAGTAGAAATTTAAAAGGAGTTGCCATATAATGGTGGAGGCAATGACTCCAATTAGACATTTTTTATCACCAAGTAAAACTTCCAGTGACAGGAATGGATTATATCTTTTTGAGTTATTGGTCAAGAGGGTCTCATAGACTCTACTTCTCCTAAATATTATATAACTATTGGTTACTCTCCACAACTTGATGGTAAGACCCTATTTCTGAAGGCACTACTTACTTACGTCAGTGAACATAAAAAAATCGAGCTTATTCCCAAATCAAGGATTCACCCCTACTGACTAGTGTACACAGTGCTGGATGGTACTTTGCACTCACTAAAGGAGAAATGTAATTACCAATATTATTCAACTTCAAACCTTGTTACCTACAATATTCACCTGCCTGCAAAGATATGCTAGTGACATAGTGGCAGAAAAGCTATAGGAGTAACCAGCCACTTTTTATAATTGGATTTAGGACCCACTACATAAGGAGGAACCCATAACTGGCACTCTTGAAGTATCCAGAAACCTGAGACTAGATAGGTCATGAGCCCTAAAGGTAAACCTACTACTATTATTCTGTTAAATGAACATAACAATAAAATGATTTCTAATGGCATATTGCTATATCCATAGATCAGTGCGTATCACACTATTCTCATAATAGAAATGTCTTCTTGCAGCAATAGTAATAATTAACACAGAGATCCACAGCCACCCAGTGTGCAGAGGGTAAGAGGATTTGGAGCACTCAGTCCTAAATGGGTTGTCTTTATCAAACCCCTCCCCTCAAAGGTCAGGGATCTATGACATAGAGGAGGCAAAAAAGATTATAAGAGCTATAGATGGTGGATGATGCCAAGGGAACACAACTTTTCAGACATCACAGAACCAATACATGTGTGAACTCACAGAGATTGTGATAGAACACATAAGACCTGCACAAACAATTGAAACAACACAGAAATTCCGGTATGGAAAGGGGGAATGTATATAAGGACTCACCCCTAACCAAGAAGCTACTTGTAACTGAAACCTTATGGAAAGAGGGAAATCAGCCTTCTCCTGTGGAGCGACACTTGGTACAACAGCCACACTTCAGGGGAGAAGAGATGCTCAGGAGCAGTTGACCAACATAAATGGACTCCATATTTTTTGTATGCTTTGTTTTGTTCGGGTGGTTTTTACCTTTTTGGTTTTCTTGTCTTTTTTTTTGAGAGATAGAGAGAAATATAGTGAGAAATAATATAAAGTTGGGTATAGTCAGAGACTGCTCACTCATTTTCCCACTGCTCAGACCCAATTAATCACACAGAAACTATTTAATTGTAACACTGGCCAATGATTTTAGTGTATTCCTAGATAGCTCTTACATCTGAAATTAACCCATTTCTATCCATCTGTGTTTCGCCATCAGGCTGTGGCCTACCAGCAAAGTTCCTAGGATTCCAGCATGTCCTTCTCCTTTAGTAGTTACATGGCATCTCTCTGATTCTGCCTACTTCTCTATATATCTCTGTTTGGATTTCCAACCTGGCTTTGCTCTGCTAAGCCATTGGCCAAACCAACTTTATTCATCAACCAATAAAAGCAACACATATACAGAAGGACAGCCCACATCATTCTTCCCTTTTCTGTATAATTAAAAAGGAAGATTTTAATTTTAGCATAGTAAAATTACATATAATAAGATAGGTATTAAGCAAGAATTACAGTTACAATACTTCTTTATTAGTCTATTTTATACCTATTTTATCTTTTATCATAACTAAGGAACTATAACTACCTGTCTTCAAATCTATCAAAGACCCCAGAAGCATATAATATTACCTAAGTAAACAGAAAGTGCATTGTAAGCAACTTACAAAACTCTAGAATTAACAGAGACATCTTGCTGCCTGGACAGTCACCCAAAGATTTTCTGTAACATTTGAGCATCCATCTTCAGTCTACAAGCCCATAGTATCTGGCAGACTTTTTCATGCAGCAGAAAATTGAAGATTCATTCTACCTTATAATGGTAAAGTTCATCAGTTGCTTTCTTCTGTGTCCTGTAAAATGTCTGGCAGTTTCTTCTGTGAAGCAGGAACCCTGAAGGACCATTTCATCTTTTGGAAAGTTCAGCAGTTACTCTGCTGTGGGTCCTGCATGTCTAGTTCACACAGAATACCATGCAAGTCCATGCATAAGCAGTTTTGAAATCCCATAAGGAGCCTCTTTGATGCCCATCATTCTCTTGACGTAGATTGGTTCTGCCAGAAGCAGATATGTCTCACTGTTGAGAAATGACTTTAGCATATTCCTAGCTAGCTATTATATCTTAAATTGACCCAATTCTATCTATCTGTGTATCGCCACAAGGCTATGGCCTACTGGTGAAGTTCCTATGATTCCAAAATTTCCTTCTTCTTCTTCAGCAGCTATAGGGCATCTCTAAGATTGACTCTGTCTACTCTCTATATATATCTCTGCTTGGATTTCCCTCCTGGCTTTGCTCTACTAAGTCATTGGCCAAAACAGCTTTATTCATCAACCAATAAAAGCAACACATATACAGGACATACCACATTAGTTGGGTAGATAAGGAGGTAGAAAGTGTTTGGGGAGTGAAAAGATCATGATCAAAATATATTATATGAAAAGCAATTTTTGAAGCTGATAACTACAAAAAATTAAAAACAAGATAGCACTTTATACACTTAAAATTTATATCTTAAAACATTACATTGAACTAGTAATAATAATTCTAACTATCAAAACAAAAAAAGAATAATTAAAAATATCCATACTGCAGATAAATACCTTCACTTACTGTGTTTTGGAGTTAAACCATGATTGGGGAAATGGGTAAAGAAAGGAAGCCAGTACTTTCTAACATTTTGCAATGATCATGATAATACTTCTAGCTTCTGCTCACGAATTCCAAACAGTCAAGACAAAACAGATCTGCCAATTATGCATTTAATCAACAAAGACTGAGGATTTCAGGATTTTGTTCTGTTCTGTTTTTAATATTGTGTCTATTAAATGCATAAAATAAAAATAAGAAATCGTGACAGAGCAGAAGTGATGTATCTTTGATGATGCAATAGGCTTAAGTGGCACTCCTGGATAGAGTCTAGTCCACGGAGTTCTGTGGTCTGGGGGACCTTGGTCTTTTACTTCCCTACTGTGGTGTTTGCTCATGACTCATTTAGATTAAAGCAATTGACGTCATCTTTTTGGCTAGAACAGTCTGCAGATCTGCAGTTGTGGGGGATGCCTAGCTTTCAAATACCCACGCTTCTTCTTCCTAACTTAGTATGCAATCGGATGGTAAATTTTGGTCATGAAAGGGGCCTATCAGGTTCTATGATGAGGTATTCTGTAAGAAATAGCTCAACTTTAAAAGTTCCTCCTTCATAGAGCGAATTCTGGGAAATATCAATAACTACATGAAAATAACAAACCTCACTCTCTTTAGATTTGTTATTGTAGCAAGAGTAGTAGTGAGAGAAAGGGCCCACAGCCAAAATTATCAAAAATTATTGCTGGCAATTGTGACAAGAAAACAGATCTGGGCCTTATAGGAAAGATTACAGTTAAAACAGTGGAGATGAGAGATAAAAGAGTTTGAAGCTGAGTGTGAAACAACAAAAGTAAGCAGATAAGAGGAGGGATGTGGGTCTGGACCAGTGTCAGCAGGCTGGCTGGCTCCCCAGGGCTTTCCTTCCTCAGAGAGCATGTGTAAGGCACCCTTGCCCTTCCACGTACCCTTGCTTCTCTTGTAGCGAAGTGAAGCAAACTCAGTTGTAAGGATAAATTCTAAAAAGCCTCCATCTGTTTTGGGGAAAGGGATTCCCAAACCGACAAGGTATAGAGGGCAGGTAACCAAGAACAACTCCAGCTCCATCTTGGTAGCTGTGATTGGAGTCAATCGCACAGTGAAGCTACAGTTGATCCCAGGAGTGTGACAAACACAGCGTGGGATAGTTTACAGCCAGCAAAACAACTGGAAGGTTGACCATAAGTGAGTAAAATCTCATAGACAGTCCAGGTTGCCAGTTAACAAGCAGAGGCTTAGAAATTGATGAAGGGGGTTTTTTACTCATTCCTATCTGGGTGAAAAACATCAATAGAACACGGTCACCAGCCATGTTTGCCAAGACTGCACGCATAGAGTATATGAGTCTTTCTCTGGCTCAGCCCGGAATACCAAATAGTCTCAACAGAAGGTAAATCTGCCTTTGTCCAGTCACTTCCAGAAAGCTTCTAGAGACCCAGAAATGAACCAGCTCAACATCTCTTCCTCTCTTGGGAACCCTTCCTACCTCGGGAGTATTCCTTTGTTTTCCCTACTTTCTCACTTTTTGTCAACTTCCCTTAATAAAGCTCACTTCCCCGTTGCTTACTCCCACGGGTGTCTGAAGTATTTTCAGTTTTGTTGGTATGAAACAAGAAGTCACTGCTTCAGGTTGAAGTCGGGTCACTGTTGAGTGTCTGGTATCATAAGCACCTGGGCTGAGAACTGTCCACACGTCTCAAAAACTGCAAACTATAATGCCAGGAACCTGGTTTCCTTATGGTCCTCTGAGCAGAGCGGCTCTCATGTCTATTTGACCGCATCCATTGGCTCTGGCTGCAATCATCTCATATGTGTAAGAATCAAACTCTACACACATATTACGCTTCGTTCAATATTACTGTAAATGTTTCCTCTGTAGATTAATATTTATCTACTTAGTTTCTTTATACATTGCTTGTGATATCTTCATGCTTCTCCTGATTTCCATCTAAGGTAAGTTTCCTTCCACTTGAAAACTCCATTTAGCATTTCTTTTAGTGAAAGACTGTGAGTTCTTAGTTTTTGTGTGTGGGTTGCATCTGAAAACATTTCCTCTTCACTTCAAGGGACATTTTCATGGCATGGCAGCATATTTTAATGCTTTTAATGTCTTGTGTCATGATATTCGAACTTTCACCTTTGGCATTTTGACCATCCACGCAACTCTCGCATCTGCTAATATTGCCCCTCTTTTTTCTTAAGCTTTATGCAAAGAGGATGTTTTTCCTTGTGCCAGGCATAGTCTCGTGTCTGTGGGTTTTTCTTTGATTTTTCTTCTTGAGGTTTCTCTTTTTATCTTAAATGAGTTGCCTGACGTTCTTGGTTACCTTAGGGAAATTGTTAACACTGACTCTAGAGACCCCATTTTGTTCCAATTCATTCTTTCCCCCTCAGAGTTGACTTATGCTAGACATTTTGCTTGCTTCTCCTATCTCTGCTTTTTCCATCTCTTCTCCCAGCTGCCTATTTTCAGTTGTTTTTGTTCACTTCTCTTATAATTCACTGTGTCATCAATTAATTAAAATGACTGATTTCATCGTGAAATACTTTCAGTTCTAGATTGTGCTTATATTGATTCATAAAATTTATTCTTTATAAAACATTTCCACATATTATTTTGTCTTTGTATTTTCTTCTAATTCTTAAAATTTTAATCACCTTATTTTAAAAGCCTTGGTACTGCCATTTAAGATATATTTCTATAAAATTTCTCTTGTTTTTCTGTTATATGATCATAGCCTTTCTCAGATCTTGTAATTTAATATTGATTTCTGGAATTTAAATTTATGCAAAGTTTCCAGCTAATGTTTTTTTCTTACAAGTAGGCATTATCTTTAACTCCGTAACAGATTATTTTGAACCATGGCTTGCACTGTGTACCATTTTCCTCCACATTTAAATATTGCAACCTAGAGAAAGAAGTAAACATCTGCAACCCTAAGGAAGATCCTAAAACTTACAGAATTCACACGGCTTTCCTCCAAGGTTATACAGACAACGAAGATGAGATGAGGCTCTCCAGTCTCTTGAGCTGCCTGCAAGTCCTGCAGAGTGCTCCAGCAGAGCGGTTTCTGTGAATCATTACCCATGCGCCGGCTTTCAGTGACACTGCTGTCTTTGAGATCTTCACCCTCCGGCCACAACCAGCCCCCCATAGTTCTGTAAGTAGCTTTCATAAACTCATTAGTTTACTAACCAAGACGTGACCAGAATTAAGTATTTGATTTGTCATTGGTTTCTTATCTAGGTTGCGTAAAAGACTCTTCCTATCTCTTCAAAGGAAGACACATACCAGTTATTCAGTCTTCACAAGGCTTAGTCCATTACTTTACTCCTCATTCATCTCAACTGTAGTCAAAAGTATTGTCCTGGGTATCATTAGCCAATATTCCAGACCAGTGGTTATCAACCTGAGGGTCGTGACCCCACTGGGACAACGCATATCAGATATCTTGCATATCAAATACACATTATGATTCACAGCAGTAGCAAAATTGCAGTTATAAAGTAGCAATGAAATTATTTTAAGGTTGGGGGTCACCACAACATAAAGAACTTTTAAAAAGTTGAAGCATTGGGAAGGTTGAGAATCGCTGGTCTACACTTACCTCAAGTCTTTTCTTAGAAAGCCATTTTTTTCTCTGCCATACTTTATAGAAATTTTCTTTCTCAGGATTGTGGTCTTTCACTCCAGAATCCATAACATTACAGAAGAATTTTAATTTGTAGACCTGAGTTAGAAAATGGTCAGTATGGAATAGAGAAGTTCCTTAGGTTACTTCTTTGAGTTCTCTCTTCCGAACACCTGCCTACTTAACTCATTTCCTTGGATACACATTCAAGCAAATATTTCTGTATTTTATTTAACTTAATTAAATTTGGTGCTGGGGATTGCGCCCAGGGCCTAATGCAGGCTAAGTAAGTATTCACCATTAGTCCGTATCACCAGTTCTATGTTCTATTTTATTTGGATTTTTACATTGCTCATGGTGACACATCTGATCGTTTGATAGCCATTCTACCCCACGATGATTCAGGTGGCAATGTAGTTTGGGGTGTTTTGATAGCACAGTAAAGGCTGTTTTAGAATTGTTGAATTCTATCAAAAGAGAGGTGCCTTCCTTCTAACATGTAGAGATTAGTTTCCTGACTTTGTGAAAGTTCTACTATGAATTGAATGATTCCACTACAATTTATAAATTATGTATGCTGTCACGCACTGTCAATTTGGAGGTGTGTTATCTAATAGCTGCAGAAGCGAATAGATTCCTTAATGTTCTCCAGTCACCCTCCATGCCCTGGCTACCCTGGCCTTGTTCCAAGTGCTGCAGTGCCCAAACTTTTTCCATCTAGCATTTGAATCTCCACCCAGCTTTTAGCCAGTTTATGATTCTGTCGCTACTTACGCTTTGCTCACGACCAATCAGGATATTGTGGAAGACATCCGTATGGCCTCACCCAAGGTACAGCTCCTCCATCCTGCCACAGGGCTCTGAGCTAGGCTGACCCTTGCACTACGCTACCCCTGGCCTCTCTCAGTAGGCCTGCTGGGGGTGCACTCTTGCTTCATATCTTGCCCAGCCACTAGACCTGATGAAACTGTGTAAGACAATGAGAAAACAGAAGCTAAAACCTCTTTCTGTCTAGTGTGTGGTTTCTTACAAAACAAAGAAAATTTTCTTCCTCTTTCTCTGAGGCATGTATTCGTTTACTGATGTCCTATAGATGACTCCAGCACCTACCTCCAAATTGACTTCCAGCCTTTGAAAGTCAAGCAATTGCCAAAGTAGGGAAGATGATAAATTAATAAAGCCTTTTGAAAGCACAGGTATTAAGGGAGGTCAGAAAGAAGTTAGAACCCATTGTTTTTTAGGGTGGAAATAAAAATAGTGTTGAGTGTGTGCATGAGTGTGTGTGTGTGTGTGTGTGTGTGTGTGTTTGTGTGTGTAGTTTTCCTATAGAGAGTATAGAATAACTGTAGGGATACATGCTGGAACTTTTAAATTAAATAAACTAGAAGCTTTCTATCTCTTTTTCTTTTCCTCAGCAAGGTGATTCATTATTCCATACGAATGAGCAGCTTACACCCACGGTTGCACATGTCCACATCAGTAGAGGCCAAGAGGAACAAAGTCACTTGTATGAGGAAAATGTCCCTGTTATATATTTAAAACAGAACCTTTTTTGATCTAGGAGAAATGATAGTATGTTGGACCAAACAACTTCTATCGGTATCACATTCAAGAATTGAGCACTCAAGATTGAAGCAGAAACATTGAAATTGGGACTGGAGAGATGGCTCGGTGGTTAAGAGCACTGACTGCTCTTCCAGAGGTCCTAAGTCCAATTCCCAGCAACCACATGGTGGCTCACAACCACTTATAATGAGATCTGGTGCCCTCTTCTGGCCTACAGGCAGGATAAATAACTAAATAAATAAATCAAAAAAAAGAAAGAAAGAAAGACATCTGTGACAATCGTCATCTGGAATTTGATGTTAGCCATGGGGAATACCAATCTTGCAGACCTCATTACTTTACGCAGTGGTGTCTCTAGATGAGACATAACAGGGGCAGTAGCTCCACCAAAGTGCATGCTTCTGTTTGAATCCAGGCTTACTAAATACTTAGCTCTCCACTACATTTGCCTGTTAGAATTGGAAACCCATGAAGCATGGGGAATGAGATCTAGGCTACAGACACTTTGAACAGGAAGACAAAGAAACAGATCTTTAAGGTACCCAGGATTGAATGTTTGGGATGTAGTAGTTAGTGTTAGCTAAAGACATCACCTCACACACGAATGTTACAGGAAAAAGGGGGTATAGTTACTATATCTGTAGTGATTCGATAAGTTCATGAAAGAAAGAGAATTTGCTAAGAAAACAGAGCAGGGAAAGAGGAGGAAGAAGATTAAAACAGAAGGAATAGGGAGGACATAATGAAGATCCCTGACCACAAGGCTGCCGTCACCTGTAAGCCTGGCACCAACTATGGCAGCTTGCTGGGTCCAGGTCTTTACTCCAGGAAAGGTTGGGAACTCATTTATGTACCTAGTTGGTTGCTGTTTAATAAAACAGAAACTGTTTGCCCACATGACAACTGATCCCTGTTGCTCTTCAGGAGTAAGGGATGTCATTCCTGCTTCCCTGGAAATAGAAGCAGCCATGGAAATTGTCCAACAACATGAACAACAATCACTGGCATTCTTCTATGTCACCCTGACCTCTGCACCAGGCTTCCTCTTCTCCAGAACTCTACCCCCAACGGAATGTCCCACCGTGTCCTTAGGGCCATTTCTCCAGAAGTCCTTGCTTGTAACGATACACATCCTCAGCAGCTTCTCAGAACAACCTGCATATGTCTGATAGTCATCCCATCCTTGTTCCATTAATTCTCAATTTAGCTCTATGTTTTGGATTTTTTGTGTCCTTGTTTAACTTTGACTATTTTTAATGCTGGCTTAATGTTCTAACAGAGCATGCGCTGTTAACTGAATGGGTGAAGGAATGCTGGTGATGTCATTGAACCTTTCTTTAATGAACTCATGGTTTACTCTAGACCAGAAACTGATGCTTGGATCACAGATGTTAGACCACATGTGTGGCCCATGAGAAAGCTGTTCCAAGGAGTAAAGTCTCTTCTCTATCTGGACAGTGACTGCCTGTCCTGGCTACAGACCACTTCTCTGGCTCTGATTGACCCTCAAGGACCAGCGTGAAACCTAGTGTCAAACTCCAATCCTCTGCTCTCTCTCATGTTCATACTTGAAAATCCTTCCTTGATCTCTTTCAGTGGGCAAAATGGAATCAGAGCGCCTACCCTGCCCTGTCATTTATGTCCTTTGCTATCCAGTTTCATGTCATATTACCTCTCATGGCCCCAATTCTTCTGCCTTCGTCCTGCCCCCAGGCCTACCAATCCAAGAATAGTCTCTTTCATTCCTCCAGGTTGTTTCTTTTCCCCTGCACTCCAAATGAACGCTAGACAACCAGATGGAAGTACAAACTGCATCATAAATTATTCCAATTCTCTCCTTAGAAGCTTGCCCCAGCCTCCTGTTACATATGAAGGATATATACACTTATAAGCGTGATATACTAGACCAGAACCCACTGGCTTTTGTAAGCTTAAGCCAGTTCCCCAAACCCCCAATCCAGTGAGAATTCTCCTGGGCTGCTACATGATTTCTTGAACTTCCACCTGTGTAGGTTTGCCTGAAGCTCAGCTGTAGGCAACTTCCGTGTATCTGGCCAGTTCCCACCCTATGCTTTGCCACAAGCTCGCTCAGACTGTGTGGTCATTGCCTATTTTACCAGGACTACCTCAAATCAGAAGTGAGATTGGAAGTGGTTTCTATGACTGTCTTTTAAGGAATTCATGATAGAACTAACAATATTGAGTAGCCTTCAAAATAGGAGTCTAGAAATGTTACAGAATCTTAAAAGGTAACGTTATGTAATCCCTCATCCTCATGGGTACATAGCCTGTTTCCAGAACATCTTTATATCTACAGACAGATTAGGAACTATAGATCTACACTGAGACTTCTCACATTAGTCGATAAATAATATCATTTTACTTGTTTATTGTATAGTAGGTAACACCGATTCTGTAATGGATAAAGCACATCTCTGCATTTAAATTTCCTTCTTTGTGGTAGAAGACAAACCGGAAGATAAATTACTTAGCATTATCCCTGTGTACATGAAAAATGTTACAACAATTTTAAAAGAAGAGTTGTAAGTTGAAGATAGAGAGTGAATGTATCACATGGAAGAGGGCATAGAAAGATTGGAAGAGTCAGAGGGTCAACGAGTTTGTGCCTCCTAGTAATGTCAGAAGCTATACCCATAAAGTCTCACGAACATGACTGCCCAAATGTGAATTGAATATGGATGATACCCATAAACATTCCGGTAGATAAAGAAAAGCCCATGAGGCTTCAACCTTAACCAAAGGTAACTGAGAAAAGATGGAAATGGGACAAGTGCCTGCACTGAGCATGTTACATTTAGGAATATATATGTATGTCTATATGTATATATATATATACATACATACATATATGCAAGCAATAACAATTAGTTGGGGGTATGAATCAAAGGAGAAGAGGGATGGTATACAGGGGGCCTGAAGAGAAAAGGGAATGGTGATATTATGTAATTGTAATTTCTATAAATAATAAAGGAATAAAAATGTTTAGAACAGATCTGTAACAGGTCCTGGATTTTGAAGGACACTTTAAAGTTCTGCTTGTGCTGAGGTGAAAATAAAGCCCTCCAGGTAAAGATGAGGCTCTGAGCAAAGGCTTGAATGCACCTGTGGGGGATTACCAGTCACCTGATACACCTGGGACATCAGAAACATGAAGGGAGCACACGTTTCTGCTAAGGAGCTTCACCAAATGCTCAGTGTGTGGCCATGTGAGCATTTCCTATTTTAGCCTGGAATTATAGAAGATGCAGGGAATCTTAGAATAACAAACAACATTTCTGGTTTTTACCTTCAAAGCTATTTTTTGAAACAGAATGAAAATTAGACAAAAGCCAGGCAGACAAGGTCATATCATTGAATGGCTATTCTGTTGGTCAGGTTTAAGTAATGTAAGTTATGGAAAGGTCAGCCCCTCTTGGGAGAATTTGCCCCAATGCTAAAAGAGATGCGAGTGGGATGGAGAGAAAGTTGTGTGATTTGAGCAAACAACAACAGTGCTGTGCCAAATACAAACATGAAAAACAAGATCCAATTATTGAATACTTAAAAACCATAAATGCTACATTCAAAGGACAGAAAATTCCTAAGGCAAAAGAGGTAAGCTACTACTTACTTTCCTAACAGGGTAAAGGTAGTTTTAGAAATCCTGGGAGAGAGAAGAAAGAGATGTGAGAAAAAGACTTCAAGGTGCTGGAGAAGTGGCTCAGTGGTTAGCAGCTTGGATTCTCTTCCAGAGGTCCCAGGTTCACTTCCTAGCACACGTAGAGCAGCTCACAAACATCCATGACTCCAGTTCCAAAACACCCTATGTTCTTTTCCAGCTTCTGTACACCAGCAACTCAAGTACATACGCACACATGTAAGCATAACAATCATACACAAAAATAATGTCTTAAATATTTATTTGTTTCATTCTATGTGTATGAGTGTAAGAAAGTATATGATTTCAGGGCTGGCCGCCTGGTATTCAGTGGTTGAATGAGCACTGGGGACTCTTCCCCAGGGAAGATCATTTCCCATGTTCGGCACTCTTTAGTTGCCTGAAGTTCATTGTTCTTTTAATTTTCATTACATTGATGGCTAAAGATACAAAATATTTTTATATAGTTATTGGCTATTTTACTTCTTATTTTAAGAATTGTCTGCTCCATTCATTGGCACATTAATTGATTGGATTATTTGCCTCTACAGGTTTAATTTATTTATTCCTATGATCTTCAGCATACAATTCCTTAAGGAAGATATTCTTTTGCTAGCCACATGTAAGGACCCATGTTAGGAAACAACATTGGTGCAATTGTATTACTTAATTTTCATTTTCTGCTAATATTTTGTCAAGTACAATATTCTAGGGAGGGTGTGGCTCCTATGCTGAGTATCAGGCATGACAGGAGACGGTATAGACTGAAGGAGTGGAGATAAAATTGAAGAAGAAGCAAGAATTCAGTGATGACTGCC